AATTTTAGATTTAATTATTAAATAAATGAATAAAATAATTGATAGCTGCAATTGAGTTTCATTCACACATTATCTGTATATGTAGGCCAGAAGCTAAGTACAACTAACTTTTTTTTTTTTTGCCCTCTATTAAGAAATCTTCAAGAACTAAAATTGATTTAAAGCATATTTAAAATTTTGTCCTTACCTAATTCATAAATAGATTTCATTTTAGCTTTTATAAGTTCTTCCTCTTACAATTGGATCAATACAAAATTGTACTTCCTCGCATTAGGAAAAACAAGAATGTTGAAAATATATATCTTGACTTTTTTGCCTTTTTAATTTTTCATCTTGATTTTGGGATGAGTTGGGGAGAAATATTGAAAATGATGTCTAATGGATTTCTTGAAAGGTTAATTTAACAAATCATCTATTAACTTTCATAATCTTTTTAGTTTCATCTATTATCTTTGAATTCTTTCAATCTTGTCTATTAACTTTCACATTTATTTCAATTTCATCTGATCTGTTATATTTAATCAAAATATCCGTTATCTTTGACGGAATCTTCTTATTCTTTAACAAAATATTTAGTCCTTTAACTATATTTCTTTTGATCTTTTAATCCTTAAATTTATATTCACCGTAAAAATAGTTTTTAATCTTATCTTGCTAAATGAGTTCTTCAGAAAACTGTTTTACGGAGTATATTGTATATAGTCTATCCTGTAAAATTATTTAAATACCCTTAATTTTATTTTTATATTATTTTTTAGGAACATTTAAATAATTTTTTAGGACAAGTCACGTAAAACAGACTGGTTGCTCACGTTTCTTACAAGTTTTAACTAATTTATCTCTATAAAATTTGTCTTGAGTCATCATATTTATTAGGATTATAATGTCACTTTTTTAAAACTTAAAAGACTACTTTTTTAGTTAAATCTAACAAAATTTTGTACTGGTAAACTATTTTGAAATATTTCCAAAGTTTATAGACCATTTAGAAAGAAACTAAACTTTCTAAACTAAAATGAAATCAAGCTGATAGTTAATAGACTAAAATTTGAATTAAGCCATTTCTTGAAAGATGAAAACCATGGTGGGGTTTTGGAATGTCTGCTAATAGGATTGATACTTTTTTTATTTTTAATTTTTTAGTAAAGCTTGTTTTAGTGTAGGGATTAATTTTATTAAAAATTTGAAAAGTATATGCACTAAACTATGATTTAACGATTTCCCTTGACTGCCGTGATCAGATTTTTAAATGAGTGGTATGAAAGCGTTAACAAAGGGTTAATTTGCTTATCTCTAGAACTGGTAAAATTAGATCAAATCCAAAAATCCAACCCAATACATCCGTTATGGTTAGGGTTATGAGTCTTATGTATTCATTCAAAATCTAAAATAATTCAGACTTAAATTATCTGAATCCAAATGGGTTGGATCACGGATGAGTCGAGTTATCCGAAATTATCTAAATTTTTTTTTATTTTATACAGATAATTTTTCTAATTTGTATATTATGTCGATAGTGATTGCCTTCCCAAGAAGACAACATACCTGATAAATCATTGATATAAAACTAATAGATGTAAGTATTTCATAAAATTCACATTAGTGTAAGTCGATCTTGCTTCAAATATAATTAGTAGTTAATATTGAATGGGTATATATATTTTTGCTTTAGAAAATTAAAATTTAAA